AAAATTAGAAACAAATGTTTGGTGTGGAAGTCAAACATAGTCTCCACTCCACTATATAACAAATACAATTCCAGAGAAAAACTAAATTTCAACTTAAAGAGCCTTTGTAAAAAATTATGCATTTTAGTCCAAAAAGAAATGATTTTGTCACAATACCAAAAGCAGTGAAGGAATATTCCTTTGCGTTTTTTGCAGTTAAAACAACGATCAGAGGAGTTTCTGTAAATCTTTTTTAAACGTAAAGGTGTAAGATAAAATCTTTCTATGAATTGGTCATACAATTTTTTTATGTTTTTAAAAGTCTCTTATGCTCACTAAGGTTGCATTTATTTGATCAAAAATACAGTAAAAACAGTAAAATTGTTAAATAAATAAAAAAACGTTTTTATTCCTTTGATGACGAAGATGAATTTTTTTAGAAGCCATTACTCAAGTCTTTATTGTCGCATGATCCTTCAGAAATCATTCTGATATGCTGATTTGATGCTTAAGAAACATGTATTATTGATGTTCTAACAGTTGTGCTGCTTAATATTTTTGTGGAAACTATTTTTTTTCCCTCAGGATTCTTTGATTAACAGTTCAACAGAACAGCATTTATTTGAAATAGAAAACTTATTTTACATTATAAATGTCACTGTTAATCAATTTATTGCATCCTTATTAAATAAAAGTAGAAACAGTCTATATAATAAAATAAAAACAAACAGTAATAGAACAAAAAACATAAATTAAGCAAATAGTTTTTTAAGTTATTCAGTTATCTAAAAGTGGAACCAAATATAAAGGTAAACGTTCATTAATGTATTAATTTATATTAATATTTTGGAAAAATTTTAATTTTTGATCAAAAAAGTGCATTTGACCATATACGATGCCATTTCCAACCCCAGCCCTCAGCTTAAAATGCAAATTGTATGTGTAAGATTTTTGTGCCATGCACAGTGTTGAAAAAATAAAGATGCCTGTCCTTCAGGTGTGTTTGCATACAGAAGCAGAGGAGCTGAGATCAGAGCTGAGCACATGTCATGAGAGAGAGAAAATGCTGACTCAAACGCTGCACTCTGAGAGCGATAGACTGACCCAGGACGTCCAGAAACTGCTCACACAGCTCAACAGCACCAGAGAGAGAAACAGCCAGCTTGTGTCAACCCATAACAACCAGCGGGTACAAATCACACACAGCCTGCTAATGTTGACTTTTAGAACATCTATTTGATTATATGAACATGTTATTATTGTGCTGTTTGTATGGTAGGAGAGCTTGTTGGCAGAACTACAGACCAGCAGAGAAGAGCTCAAAAGATTTCGAGAGAGTGTGTCTCTTACCCTCAGCCAGCTCGAGACTGAAAAGGTTTCATGCTTTATTCTGTCCTTATTATTTTAAAGTATTATTCAATTATTTTTATTATTATTTTATCTATTATTTTAGACTTTTTCATAAGGTCATGTTTCAGATCTTTCTACAGATAACTTGGAAACAATACACCATTACCAAACCTTAAAAGAAGTGTGTAATTTCTGTGCTGCTACCATCACCAATTTGCTAAAATAGTAACTATCTTCAAACTGTTTCAGAAATACTCCCCCGGTGTGGCATTGGTTAGTCAAACAGCTAGTCCCACCCCAAACTCACACCATAGGTTGAGCCAATGTTGTTATATTGTGTCACAGGGAGGCTCAAACAAACCTCAATATTTTTTACACTTTTGGGGAAATCAACCTACACATTGCTTACTTCTAAATGTCTCTGGATATTAAGGCATAGAATAAAGTATTTCAATGTTGAAAAAACACCACACCTTAACTGGAGAATGAAATTAGATGTGTGTTGCCCTTTATTGGTAGATTATGTGAACTGCAGTTTAATTTCGTTTTACAGGCTGAACTGATGTCACACTTAGAGGACATAAAAAGTTCCTATGAAAAGGTAACCAAAGACATATACTTGCAATCAAAAGTTTGGAGTTGGTAGGATTTGTTTATGTTTTTGAAAAAAATCTCTTATGCTCACCAGGGGCCTGTTTCATAAAACAATTTACCAAATAAGCCAGGCTTATTTCAGTTAGTCTGACTTATTTTGAACCAAATCAACTGACAAAAAGTCAGACTAACTGAAATAAACCTGCCTTATTTGGCAAACTTGTTTTATGAAACAGGCCCCAAGTCTGCATTTATTTGACAAACAATACAGTAAAATAGTAATATTGTGAAATATTATTACGATGTATTTTAAAATGTAATCCTGTGATGGCCAAGCTGAATTTTCAGCAGCCATTACTCCAGTCTTTTCATTGTCACATGATCCATCAGAAATCAGTCTAATATGCTGATTTGGTGCTCAAACATTTCTTATTATTATCAATGTTGAAAACAGTTGTGCTGTTTTATTTTTTTTATTTTTTGGAAACCGTATTACATTTTTTCAGTATTTAAAAAAAAAATGTTTACTGACCCTGAACTTTTGAATGGTAGTGTTTATAATAATTGTATTCATTCAATTTAATTTTGTTAAAAAAGCAATAATTACTCTAAACAAAAGATTAATGTTTTGCATGTGTATGCATATTGCTTCTGCAGGTGTGCTTGGAAAATACTGGTTTGAGACAGAAACTCAAGTCATTTTTGAGGGAGATCAACTCTGCACCCTTTACAGAATCCAGCAGTCCAGACACAAACACTTCACACACACACGCAGTCACAACGAACACCAAGATGATTGTCGTCTCACATCAAGTGTCTCAGCAGTATCCTGCAGGTGTCACACAAGGCAAGAGAGCCATATATTCTCCTTTATATCATTTTAAAAAACAGCTACGTCAGCCTTATTCATTATTCGGTGTTTAGGCTGTAGGTGTGTTGATGTTGTTTTTGTAGATGTTGTTTTTGGCATGCCAGCAGGAAGTGAATGCTGCTTTAGTCAGTGTGAAGAGTTTCAGCATCCTGAGGGGGAGTTTACAGAGAAGTCGGAAACCACAAACAACAGCAACTGTGAACAGCCTCTGTATAAACCTCAAAACCTCTACAAGCAGTTGTGAGCATCTGTTGATCAAAAAACACATGTGCATGTAGCTTATGAATATGAGTTTATAGGAGTTATATTTGACTGTCAGAGCTTATGTAGTTGATTCTGTGTGGTTTCTGCAGGAGGAGGGAGCACAGTCTGTTACTGGATGTGATGCTGGTTTTGTACAGGAGAGAGTGGTTTCTGCAGGATGCCATTCCATATGTCAGACGTACACTCAGGAAGTGTGGACTGAGGCCTGAGGATATAGACTAAAGACTGTACTTGTGTGTGAGTGAATGAGGGATGTGGAGAGTAAAAGTTATCGTGTATGAATCATAGTTAAGACATAGTTCACTTAAAATCGCAAAAAGCTGCCACATCATAAAGGTACAAAAGCTAAAAGGTACATATTTGTACCTTATTTACCCTCGAATGGTACATATGAATACCTTAAAGGTACACATTAGTACTTTTAAGTACATATTAGTAGATAAAGTGTAAAGATTAGTAACCTTAGTACTTAGTATTAGTACTGCCCCAATGATCTTTTTATTTTTTTAATGAATGGGTAAAGAAGCATTCAAGGTTTGAAAGCACTGTAAAATTATCATAAAAGTTGTACATAGAACCTTTGAAGTCATACAATAGCTTTATATGAGTTACAGACAAACTTTTAAGTTGTTACTCACTGAAAATGTTGGCATGCGTTCATAGGAGATCATAAGAGTTCATGAGGCAAAGTGTTCAATTTATGTATGAATTGTTTTGACTTAATTATCACCACAGTTAACTGAAAATTACTGATAGATTATCAGTAAATTACTTAAATCTTAGTCTGTTTCTCGCACTAAGCTATGGTATGACTTCAGAAGAGTCATATGAGGAGTCATTTGTGCCACTTTTTATGATACTTTAATGATGCTTTTGTCTTTTTTTTTTTTTTTTTTAAGATTAAAGGCTCCAATTGCAATTGCATACACTAGAATGACCAGCACGGTGCTGTATGTCCATGTTCTATAGAAGAAATGAAGTCATCACAGGTTAGAAACAACATGACAGCGAGGAAATGATGACAGAAATGCATTTTAGGGTGAACTATTCCTTTAAGTGTTCTCACTTTAAAACTGTCCTGATAATATATTTAAAGGGGTCCTATTATGCTCTTTTACAAAGTCTTGATTTTGTTTTGGGGGTGTACTAGAACAGGCTCTCATACTAGGTTGTTTGAAAAACACATTATGTTTCACATATTTTACATTATTACAACAACACCTCTCTCCCCAGTCTGGCACAAACGGCTCGAATAGTTCCTGTATCAAATGAAGGCCCGCCTTCTGAAATACGAAATGTGCTGTGATTGGTTAGCTGGGCCAGTGTGTGCTGTGATTGGCAGCACTCGGCACCTGGTCGGGAAATGTCACGCCCCTTACCATAGCCGCCTGCGAGCTTCAGTGTAAATACTGCGTAAAAATCAAATCAATTTGAGCGTGATTTAAACCCGGATGATTGTAATCACTTTTCGCCTGCCTTAGGAAAGCTAGCGTGTCTCCGACATAGTGATGATAACACTCGTTGCCTTCTCTAGTGCAGCTCAACCAGGTCTCGTCCCATTCGTCGATATCTGTGATATCACAAATCCCGGAAAATATGCGTTGTAGTCCAAATGAGTCCTTCGTTGTAGTTTTTGAAAAGTGATTTCTGTTAAATAAAATATCTCCTTTTGAATTGGACTTTGAGCTTTGTCACTTTGGAGATATTTTTTATGCTCAAACAGCAACATTACAGGCTAACTAAAGTTGAAAAAGTGAAAAAGCATAATAGGACCCCTTTAACTTAACTAAGGGAACAATAAAGATAAAGCACCGCTTACAAAGTAATGAACTTGACACCCAAAGTAATTTCAGTTATTCGATGCAATCATTTAAAATCCAGGTGAAAACGCGTTCAGTCAAGACAAGACATGTAACAGAGACTATTAAATAATAGTTTTATGAGTTTATTTATTGTTTACATTTTTTTTCTCTCTCCAAAGTAACACAATGAAAAACCAAAACAATATCTGTTTCTATCACATCCTGTAGTTATAGAGTTATAGTACTGATGATACATTTTGTATTGTAGGCTGTGGTTTATTCTATCTGTGTCAGTTTTTAAACGCTGATGTAGTCACTCTTGCAGGTGTTCAGGGGTTCCTTGCTGTGGCAGAGGCTGGTCCTGCGTAGGGGATGAAAGTAGGACCAGTCTCTGTCACTTTCTCTGTTCCTCTTTCTCTCCATCTCTTCCTCCACCTGCAGTGCAGACTTGTTCTTCCATTTCCTGAGCTTGCTGCTGCAGCGTGATATATCTGTGCTCTGTGGCCTTGAAAATTCATCATCATATTCATTTTCGGCCTCCTCTTCCTCCTGCAGTGTGTCATCCAGAATGCTAGGAGGCAGTGCTGAGCCCCTGTGATGCAGATTAACTGCCTCGTATATCTGGCAGGTTGGTGAGCTGGGCCTATATAGAGACCTCGGTACGGGTCTCGCTTTGAACGCCCTTCGTTCTGCTTTGGGAGTCAGGTTGTTTAGCTCATCCGCTAGTTTTTTCTCTCTTTTTTTTCTCTCTCTTTCAATGAAGCTAAATGGCTGTTGTGGAAGAGGTGGGGATTGGCATTGGGTGCCTTGTTTGTGTTGGTTTCCATGGTGATCCGTTTGGTTGATTTGATGCTTATTTGGGTGCTTATTGATAGTGTCATAGAAGAGCAAATAAGTGGAGGCGGGGGCTGGTTTAGCGCGAAACTTTTTGCTACATTCTTTTAGCTCGTCCAGTTCTTTCTTCAGTCTCTCATTTTCTAGCTCCATCTCAGAGCGGGTTTTCACATTGCGCCGCTTGCGATCCTCTTCACGAAGCATCATGCGAAACGGTTTGGGAATGGTTACTTTGGAATTCTGTCTCAGGCTGTCCATCCCCTGATTGGCTGCACTGTGAGATGAGTCCTGCTGAGAGTGAAGCAACTTCCTTTGCTCCTCTAAGGAGTTCTGCCGAGCCTGTTTTGAAAGAAAATCGAATTACATGTTAGATTTTTGTACTGTTCTCTGCAACTCATTGTAACAATTGCGATTCAGACTTAAATGCAGTTTTGATTTTTAAATCAGAACAATAAATGGTCAAAATAATATGTGATGTGACATTGTTTTCAGTAATGTGCAGTGCATAAATATCAAAAAAAAAAATGGTTTAGAGTTTCATGGTTTCAAGGGTTAGTTCACCCAAAAATGAAAATTCTGTCATTAATTACTCACCCTCATGTCATTCCAAACATGTGAGACCTTCGTTCTTCTTTGGAACACAAATCAAGATATTTTTGATGAAATCCGAGAGCTCTCTGACCCCGCATAGACCGCACAACAACAACTGACACGTTCAAGGCCCAGAAAGATAGTAAGGACACCGTTAAAATAGTCCATGTGACATCAGTGGTTCAACCGTCATTTTATGATGCTACGAGAATACATTTTGTGTGCAAAGAAAACAAAAACAATGACTTTCTTCAACAATTTCTTCTCTTCCGTGTCAGACTTTGACACATGTCTGATACCACGACGCATGCATGTGTATTCCTCTGCTTGTAAACAAGCAGCAGCGCATCAGTTCTACGTCAGAACGCCGGCTCCTGCGTCAGCAGCACCACATGCATGCATCGTGGCACTCTCATGATCAAGCATCAAAGACTGACACAGAAGAGAAGAATTGTTGAATAAAGTCATTTTTGTTTTCTTTACACACAAAAAGTATTCTCATAGCTTCATAAAATTATGGTTGAGCCACTGATGTCACATGAACTATATTATCAATGTCTTTACTACCTTTCTGTGCCTTGAATGTGGTAGTTTCGTTGCTGTCTATGCAGGGTCAGAAAGCTCTCGGATTTCATCAAAAATATCACTAAGGTTTGTGCTATGAAGATGAATGAAGGTCTTATGGATTTGAAACTACATGAGGGTAAGTAATTCATGACAGAATTTTCATTTTTGGGTGAACTATCCCTTTAAGAATTATAATTTAGAGCAGTGGTTCTCAACTAAGGAACCTCAGCAAATGTCCAGGGCCAAACATAAATCTTTAAAATATTTAGCTATGATAATATAATTACAATTTTAAAATAAAAATGTACCAAATTAAATTGACATAATATATTTATTAGTTTATTTATATTACAACAGAAATGCATGTCAGCTTAGATTGAAGGGACTTTGAATATTGTCTTGGACAAAGGTGGATCTTGGAGTCAAAAATGTTGAAAAATTCAGTTTCATTACTTTCAGTTTTTTTTTCCAAATTACATTATCTGCATAACATTTTGAATGACAGAAATTTAGTTAACATTAATATTATTAACATAAATTTCAGAATGTCAGTATTTATTTTGTCCCCCTTTTGCTTTAATGACAGCAATACTTGAGCTGCATGACCTCCACAAGTTTGTATAACACCTGACCTGATGATCATATTCTCCAGCATGATTTGAGGATGATCCAAAGAGGATCTTGTGCTTCAGTGGAAGCAAGATCATCTGATGATCTGTACAAAAGTGGTTCACATGATTAATATTACAAATTTGCTTATTTGATTGATTAGTGACATTAACACTCAAGAACTGTGTGGATCTCTCAACTCCTCCTACATAACCACAAAGCATCTGAAAGTAACCATGTGCTGATAATGGTATTTTCAGTGGAAACTGTCTCCGTTCTTCTTATAGACAGTACAGGGTACTAGAAAAGGCCACTGAATGTTGCTGAATAAATTTAGACTGGTGACTAATTATGACTAATTTGAGGGGTTTTGTAATGCACATATTTATAATGTATCCAGATCTGCATATATACTGAATGTGCACCATAACAACCTTAAGTAAACAAAGTACTTTTAAAGTCTGGGCTTCTCAAGTACCTAAAAACAGCTTGTTCAGTCTGATCCGCACTTTATAAACAACTTCAGTTATGTCTGTTTTCTGAGAGTTTTAAAATATTTGATGAACAAATCCTTGAGTAAGTTCAGCTCAGCTCTCCAGGTTCACTCACTGACCTTTAACTTCAGGTGAGAAACACCATTCTTCAGACGGCCCACTGAAGCCTTTCTCCCAATCTGGATGAGCTCCACCTGTTCACTAATGCAAGAGGTCAAAGGTCAGGGATCAAACACCATGTGTGTAATCTGAGGTTTTTAGATACAATTTAGTGAAGGGAGCACATTAGTTTGAATATAAACCATCAGTTTTCTAGTTTTAAGTAGTTGGATGTTGGAAAATATCATTTTTATAGTCATTTATTTAAATTTAGCCACAAAAAAATCTTCAAATGTATTATTAATGACAATGACAATTATTTAAACTTATTTTCCATGTTTTGTTTGACACATTCCTTTTTCTTTTTTTTTAATTGCAGACCTCTCTGTATCTTCTCCATTTTGTCTCCAGCAAGCAATAAGCTGTCTTTCTCTCTGATCAGGTTTGGTTTGGCTCAGGTAGACTTTTTCCAGTTCAGCTATGTTTCCCAGGTGTTCTCTCTTTAGCTCCTCTAGTTTGGTGTTGTATTGCTGTTTGGAGAACACAGGTCCCTGCAGATGAGGGACTGCACATGGCTGCCCATAGTCAAGAACAGAAAGAGAACTCAAGTCGCACGCCTCTATATTATCACCTTCTGACTGCAGCTCACACTCCTGAGAGACCAAATGCAAGCAAACTGTAAGCAAACTACTGTTCAAATTATAAATTTAAACCAAAATTACCTAAAATATTACAGTACATTATTAAAAAGTATATCAAGTGGTTCTTCCATTACAGAGTTTCTGTATCAATTCACCTGAAATGCTTAATTACGAGGTGAATTAGTCTTTTACATTGTACAGTCAGATATCTACCTCTGTGTGATGAACAATATCATTGAGAGAGCACAAATAATCCTTCTCCTCTCCAAACAGAGCCTGAAGCTCACTCGGCTGCAGCCTCTCTGTGCGCAGTATCGCGGTCATGGTCCAGGTGCTTTATTCTTCAGTACAGCACAGCTCGTGAATCTGCTTTCATGTAGCTTCAGATAAGTATTTCTCTGCTTCCTTGCGCCTCTTGATTTCGTTAGCTCCTCTCAGGTGAGGGACTGACATACTACAGTAGGTTAGGATTTCTCACCACACATTCACACATTTAGATGTGCCAATCACAGTTTATCCCTGAGGATCAGCTCCAAAGGGTCACGGTTTAGAGGCCCATGCCTGTTCACCATATGTTCCGTATATTCTTTAAACCCTGATTCACACCTTCAAATGTGATTTAAAGTGAACCGTCCCATTCTAAACCTCAAATTAGATTTAGAGCTTAACAACAATGTCAATTACAGCGTGAGTCCAGGAATGTGAAAGGGTTCAGCAGTTAAAGGTGTTTGGTGGATTTTATTTTATTTTATAACTATCACAGTTAAATATATTAAACATGATAGCACTATTGAGAACACTACAGAAGCTCATTTCCTCCTCAGTGTAAATTATGACCCTGGACCACAAAACCAGTCTCAAGTCGCATGGGTATATTTGTAACAGAAGCCAAGCCATCTCACAAGTGCAACATTATTTTTTACAATTGACTTTCTTGCAGTTGTGACTTAATATTTTGCAATTGTAAGTATATTTATTGTAACTAGGACTTAATTTCCCACAATTGTGACTTAATTTCTCATAATTATGATTCTTATTTTACAGTTGCGTCTTTATTTCTCATAACTCCAGCTTTGTTACAATATCTCACAGTTACAGTTATTGTGATGACTCAAACACTTGTTGGTCTCCATTGACTTCCATAGTAGACTGAGAAATACTATGGAAGTCAATGGGGACTATTTGATTACCAGCATTCATCAAAATATCTTCTTTTGTGTTCAACATAAGAAAGAAACTCATACAGGTTTGGAACGACATTTGACTACTTAAATGACTTTTTCTATTAAATGATGACAACATTTTCATTTTTGGGTGAACTATCCCTTTAATTTCTCATAATTGCAATTTTATATCTCATAATTGCATTTTTTTAATAATTGAGACTTTCCATCTCAATAATGTGACATGGATTATAATTGTGGCTTTATATCTCACAGTGTGACTGTTTCTTTTTTTAAACCTTGCATATAAAACTGTCTGCCTAGTGAATGCATGTGTTTGTTTGTGCTGTTAAACTCAATGTGCATGTGTTCAGGGTTAATCCGTTTACTGTAGAAACCTGTGTTCACACTCTTACAGCTAACACACACCTGACACTTCAATCTGCCAACCCATCTGCTACCACAAATAATAACAAACACATGCACACCACAAGCTAATTACTAGCCCAATTCTGGCACCCTACCATTTACTGGATAGACTTACTACTAGGATTTCTAAGTCAGGTCTCTGTTGAGAGTTTCAGATTGTCAGCAGCTCTTAAAGGTGAAAAAAACTTTCTTTACACAGCTGATCACATATTTCATATTGTCCACAAGGGGGCGTAGTTGTTCTTAAGTAGTCACACTGATGTTGTGATTTGCCAGGTGGAAGTGAGACAAAGAACACTGAACCAGAAGATAATTTGAGGTGCTGTAAGGTTTAGGGCTGTATTCCTTGTTAAATGTTGAGCTTCTTTATCGGTCAGTTATTAAATTATACATAAGTGGAAGTTTGCCTCACTTTATCTCATTTGGTCACTGCTGATGATTGAGCAGTCTATTTATTGCAGCATTATTCTTAAACACACGTGCACTTCTCATGAAGTAAACCATGTGATTATGAGCATTGTAAGGCTTGAAATTCATTTGTTTCATTCACCTTCCTTCCTCTTTCTGCACTTCCCTAAATGTGTCAAATCACACTTGCGTCAGTGTGCCCGATAATCACAAGTTCCTCACACCAGTGCTCTCATACAAATGTGTGAGAAAGTTTTCCTTTGAAGGTCATGTAATCCAGAGTACATTAGTCAATGATTTGCTTGATGCCTTACTCGAGGTCAGCTATGAATTACGGAAAGTTCCGGAATGTGTTGATAGGCTTGTGTGGCTAAAAATGTACAGACCCAGAAGAGCACTTCGCAGACACGCAGTCATTCTGAAGTCTGGTATCATAATGAGGTGACTCCTTCTCCTCCTTAAACATTGCCTGGGTGGAGCGTCACAGTTACGTCACGTGTGCTCTTGGACAAGACTGAATTTCTTGTTCTGATCTGGATATGAAAGATCCCTGTGTTCTGTAAAAGGACAGTTTGTGTAAACAAGTCTTGCTCCCACTGTAGCCAAACATGCATGAATGCGTATGTTTAACTTGGAAGTGCGAGTGTGTCAGTGGAGAGTCAAGATCACGCTCTCTGCTATAAATGTGTGGGGTCAGAAAGCACTGAAAAAACACTTTATTAATCAGCATTTCTGTGTTGTATGTCAGTAAAAATATAAAAAAATTCTTAAAACGTGTACATGATATATAAAAAAGTTCCATAATATAACATGTTTTCAGGATTATTTTAATCGAGATATTTTTAAGCTTATTAACTTTTAATTTAGATAACTAGATTTACTTATATAAACAAATATATTTAATGTTATTTTTCATACATTTTTTTTATTGTTTTAAGAAAAACCTTACTAAGCATTGTAATTTATACTTAAAACAGAAAAGTTTTTATTTTAGTTTTTCCGTTTTCATTTTTATCGTAGTTTTAGTAGTTATTGTGCTTTGTCATTTTATTATATTTTGGTACTTCAGATTAAACTCATTTGATTTCAGTTAGTTGGAAAGGCAACATTTCTCATTTTTATGTTTTTAATCTATTATTTATATTTTATTTTATTTCAGCCTTATTTTATTATTATATATTATTAACAAAGAACAAAAATGTTTAATAGTTTTACTAAACTGTTCTTATTCCCAGTCCCCATTATTTTTCATTATTGAAAAGGTTAGACATGTTTCTAAAATTATACTATTTTCTAAGAAAGAAAGCCATATCATTTACAGTTCTGTAAGGGAAAGTAAATAATGACAGAATTTTAATTTTCTGAACTATTCCTTTATTTCCAGATATGATCTCTGATTATTATCATATGCACAATTTCTTTTTTAGAGGATTTAATATTTGTACTGGAAAACAGGACTAAAATGCTTGTGATTTTTTTTTTTCTCCTGTTATTTCCCCTGTAACCACAGAAAAGAACACCCTGCTCATGCTGCATGCTTGAGGTTCAACAGAATTCTCCTTCCTGTTCTGTTCAAAACCACATCAAGGGGAAATGTACAAGGAATCTGCAAGAACAGAAACCGAAAGAGGAGTTGAGCCCAGGTATATCTTGATTCGTTCTCTGTCTCACACACTTTCATTTATGTTGTATTTTTATCTTTCTTCTCTCACTCTTTTCTTGTTCCTCTCTCGCATACACAGTCGTGTCTTCCTTCAGATTGCCATCTAAATGTGGTCTTTCTCTGGCCTTGTTTTCTTGTTTCAGTGTATTTTCACTTTATATTTTCATTAAAAAAAATCTCTTCTCATGGTTTGACTTATGCTGTTGGCTATGAAAAACCGACTTCACATAATTGTGTAATTGTGTTCTGGGGTAATTTTGTCCGGTTACTCTAAGAACACAGGCTGCCTTTATTTTCCAGATTTAATCAGCGCTCTAGATCTCAGAAGGGCCTTCTCTTTTCTCCTCTCTCTCTCCTTGATATTTTCCACACTGCTTCATTTTCTGAGGTGCATACTGAGAAACAATTCTTGTCCATTCCTCTGTGATTCCATTGAGAGGAGACTCTGAAGAGAGTTTGCTCTCTGACCTTCAGGTGTGTGTAGTTTAGGCACTGTTGGTTCCATAAATAGTGGCTTGCATTGCTGGCTTTCTGGATATCTTGTGTAGCAAGCATTTGAGAACAAGTCAAGCCTGGTCAAGAGCCTGTGAAGAGCTTTCAGCTGGCTGAGAGTGAGATCAAGGCCTGAAGACTTTTGCCTTTTATGGCTGGAGAGAAGACTCTGGACAAAGTAAACCGTGAGTGAACTACTGCGCTCCTTCCTCTTCCTCTCTCTCTTTGTCTATGGAACATTACGAATCTTCCAGGCCTGTGTTTACATGTCTGCTGGAAGTTAAAAGGGCTTATATTTATGTGCTCGCTCTCGTTTTCCAGTATAGAGATCATGTCACACAGGAGATGAGATGGAAGACAGAAAGCAGAAGGGAGGTGCTGTGTAAAGTTCATTGTTCACCTATAAAATCAGCTAACCTATCAGAAATCCTTTTGTTGTCTTATGTTCTTTAGGGATTTGGTGCAGAAATCCCTTTGTGTATGGTGTAGACTTGGGTTGTTAGGATTCAGGGATGTCCTGTTTATTTATAGGGCAGTCATCAGATCACTTTCCTTCATAAAACATATGATCTGAATCTTGTAGGCGTGCTCATTATGAAATATTTGAATAGCCTCATTTTTTTAATGACCTAATTTTAAACATAATGCCTTTCTTAGGACTGTTTAATATGTCAGCTTGGTCTCAGATGTTTCTAATAAATCCTTAAAATCTAGATAAATTTCACAATTATTTACAAAGAAGGAGAACAGTTCAGACATTGCGTGAATCAGAGGTAAAAGACGATATAAATACTGTTAAGTTTCTTGCACAGACCGATGATTTTGTGTCTTTACACATCAATGTATCATCACGAGCCGCAGGGTTTAATTTGGTTTTGTTTGTGTATGTTTTTTTTTTACTCTCAAAGCCGTGATTCCCATTCCCCTCCATTATATGACTGGCAACGGTTTGTGTTAAAAATCTTCGTTTGTGTTCTACTGAAGAAACAAAGTCACCTACATCTTGGATGCCCTGGAGGTAAGCAGATAAACATAAAATTTTCATTTTTGTGAAAATGAAACTATCGCTTTAAGACTAGTTTTGTGGTCCAGGGTCACATATGGCAAGTATGCATTACACAAAATGAATGTTGCTTTTTTAAGATTTTTTTTTGGCATTTTTGCCTTTTTACTAGGATAGGAAAGTATATGACTCAGGAAGCAAAGTGGGGGAGAGGGAGGGGGGGGGGGG